CTGGTGCGAACTGACTAAATTCCACCACTGAGGTAGTCCCTGATTTACAATCGGACTCTTACTAAGCATTCAGACCGATGCCAGACCTGTTCAGAGCTGGTTAAAGGCTGGTTTCAATGTTTTAATAGCTGCCCCTCCATGGTCATGTGATCACATTGGGGGCTCTTAGCAACCAGCCCACATTTATGATGGTTTGCAGCATCCCATGGTCACGTGACCACAATTTCAGGCATTTTTTTTGGCAGAAATCAGTGGTTGTCCAAAAATGTCAACCTTGAACTGTAAATATCCTCCTTTAATCTCCACAGAGTTCTAAGCAGATCTTTGTCTAATAGAAGATAGGACCCCAGATATTTGTCCCAAAGATGATTTTTCAAAAGGCAACTAAACTTCGTTGGACCCTGAAGATGTTTCATTTCTCATCCAAGAAGCTTCATCCAAGAAGGAATGTAGGTAATCCTCGCTTAATGTCTGACCGCTTAACAACTGTTCAAAATTACAATGGACTTTTAAAAAGCTACTTATAACCTGTCCTTGAAGTTATGACTGCTGCAAATCCTCCCTTGGTCACATGATCACATTTCGGGGCTTGGCAATGAGCTCACATTTACAACCAATTGCAGCAATCCACAGTCATGTGACTGCAAGTTGAGACTTTTTTTTGCCATTTTTCTGGCAGAAAACCGCACAAACACCAATTGGATCTGTTGGATTCACTTAGCAACCCCTGGTTCCCTTAATAACCATATGATTTGCGTGACAATTGCAGTTACTTTACAACTATTGTAAAAATGATTGTAAAATTGAGCCAGGTTACACGGTGACCTGCTTAATGACCACAGCAACTTAGGAACAAAATTCCAGGCTCAGTTGTGATTGTAAGTCGAGGACTACCTGTAAACCTTTAGGGAAAGCCCAGGAAATGGGTGAATTGGACCTACAAAACCAACCCTTCTTGTCCAAGAATCTTGAACCATCCAGAATAAAACTGTCAGGGCTGCCATTCAACAACGCTATGCATTGCTTGCTGTCAGCCTGCCATATTCAACGGGTGGGTGGGCGGGGAGGTCTGTGGTGTGGGATAAGAGGAGAGTTAGCATAAGGAATTGAAACTAAATGTAAGGTCCTGCCCCAACTGGTCCTATCAGAAAAGCACGAATCTTGACTCCGTGTGGTTAATCAAAAGAACTTTTATTGAGAGACACCTTACCCTTTGCCAAGTGGGCCAACAGGTCTTGCATTAGTGGTAGGGGGTACATGTTTTCCACACAAACTTGACAGACAGTGGTTGCAATAAAGTCAGGTGGAATCTAGTGGTCCTGCGCAAAGCACAAAACAATTCTTCCCTTTCCAAAAATCCAAGCCCCCTGACCAGTCCACCAGCAGCCAATGCATTTTCGCAAAGTTGTTTTGAGAACGTTGAGGTACAAGTCTAATAACAGACTTCAGGGCGCAGCGACCTTGGAGGCTGGAACCAGCAAAAATGGCCTTGTTACTAAGTGCATTGCACCAGCCAATGAGAATCTCCGGCTATTCCAAGGTCAGGCAAAGAATGCAGAACCATCCAGCCTGTGAAGACAGGGACTGTTATTCCAAACAATTTGTAGCCCCTAATTGGACACTCTTGGATAACCAGGGGGGTGGATGGGAACAAGGGAAACTTAACTATATGTTTTGGGCGCGAAAACTCCAGATCCAGCTTTGCTTCTTCTGTAACCACTTGGCTTTAGTAAAGTACACCTTGGGCTAAACATGGGCCTGAGGGTCTTCCTTTTCTAACTGACCATGTTGGGACGGTTGACAAAAACAAAGTGCAGAATACAGATAATGCCAGAAATGGGGCTTTCTCTCCTGGAATTATATGCAGACAGCTGGGAAGGATGAAGTTGAATCTGGCACTTAGATTGGATTCGTGCTGGAGACATGTTTTTTTTTCTTCAGAACTCAGATAAATATATTAAAGCAGCATCAGTTCACAAGAGTTAGGTTTTCATGAGTGTCCCAGCCTTTCCTTGACTTTCTTAGGTAACACCCTCCTCACAAACACACACACACACACACACACACACACACTTTGGAGGATGGTGCACAGAAGATGGAAGAGGCTCGGAAAAACACCCTTTTAAGTTGTCCGCTTGAAACCTGTGATTCGTTGCTTGTAAAACCGTAGTGATTAATTGCAGTTCAGCCTTTTGGTTTCATGTCTTACCCTGTTTCATTTCACAATAAAAGAGCATCCAGCTTTTCTTCTAAAAAATAGACTTCAAAGCCCTTCCTCGTGTGCAGCACGAACCCAGGGCAGATATTTAAGGGCAATCTGTATGGCATTAATTTCCCTTGGTGGAGATTTCTGGCAGAAGTGATAGTCTTCCCCGGAAGGTGCAAAACGTGCAGAGAAGAACAACTAGGATGATTAAAGAAGGCCCGGAGACTAAAACATATGAAGAATGATTGCAGGATTTGGGTATGGCTAGTCTAAAGAAAAGAAGAACTAGGGATGACATGATAGCAGTGTTCCAGTATTTGAGGGGCTGCCACAAAGAAGAGGGGGTCAAATTATTCATTAAAGCACCAGAGGGCAGGACAAGAAACAATGGTTGGAAACTGATGAAGGAGAGAATCAATCTGGAATTAAGGAGAAACTTCCTAACAGTGAAGACAATTAACCAGTGGAACAGCTGGCCTTCGGAAGTCGTGGGTGCTCCAACACTGGAGATGTTCAAGAAGAGATTGGACAGCTATTGGTCTGAGATGGTACAGAATCTCCTGCTTGAGTAGGGGGTTGGACTAAAAGACCTCTAAGATCCCTTCCAGCTCTATTCTGAATTGAACTGAAGGGCTTTTTTTAAACACCCGCTTTTTTTCTTCAATAGATCAGAGATTAATCTTTCACATGATCCCAGCCAGCAATCGCTACAGGGCTCCAGTGCTTAAAAATCTGGCTTCTGTGTATCTGAATGTTGAGGGTATGAATTTGGGAGAGCTACTGGGATCTGAGCGAATGTGAATGGCTTCTTTGCATTTTTTTTTTCCAAACCAAGTTCCTCTTAAAAGCATTTAGAGCTCGGATCTGTGTTAACCAGCAGACTGAGTCAAGCCGCAGAGAGGCAGCTGGATTGATCGGAAGCAGATGGTTTTTAATTGCTTCAGTGTGCATTTTGGGGTGGTTTTTTTGTGTTTGTTTCTCTGCTTTGTCTTCTGCCCTTTCTCCTCATCTGCAATGTTTCGTTGATGCTCTGTTTGGACTTCAAAAAAGAGAATAGGCAGAACTAACTGGGAAGGGACCTGGCAACCGAGTTTCCTGAGCCTCTGACACAAACTGTCCCAAGTCTGAAGTGCTTCCGATGAGCTCAGCCGAGGAAAACTGAAATCTGGGGACAGTTTTTGCACGAGGTTCAGGGAGTTAATTTAAAACAATGAGCAGCAGGTCAGTACAAAGCAAAGAACCTACTTCCCAAATAATCTTAATTTCTAAGAATGTGAGACACAGGCTCCACAGGTATTGCAAGATCCAATCTGGGTCGGTCACCGGGACCAGAGGTGCTGTCCTCTGAGTTTTTGGACCCACACGGGAGCCCATCCTCAGAGAACTTCTCTCTACTGAAATATGTGCTTTGGGCTATTCTATAATTTTCTATAAGCTCTTCTCTTCTTTTCTCTTCTCGGCCTACGCCTATGTCTACTTCCATTCTATTCCTATTCCTTATTCTATTCTATTCTATTCTATTCTATTCTATTCTATTCTATTCTATTCTATTCTATTCTATTCTATGGGCTTTTTTCTCATAGAATGCCCAGAACGGAGTTCCAGCACCTTTTTTGGATGGAAACTTGTAGGGTAGGCAAGGCGGGTTGTATGATGTGTGTGAGTTTTTGGTTTTTTTTTTAGAAAAAAAGCACTGTCTATTCTATCCTATCCTACCCTATCCTATCCTATCCTATCCCTATTCCTTTCAATTCCATTCCATTCGTACTCCTACTCCTAATCCTACTTCCATTCCAATCCCCTGCTCAGGCAGGAAACCCTGGCCTATACCATTTCAGACAAATGTTGTCCAGTCTCTTCTTAAAAACTTCCAATGTTGGAGCATTCACAACTTCTGGAGGCAGGTTGTTCCACTGATTAATTAATTCACTGTCAGGAAATTTCTCCTTAGTTCTTGGTTGCTTCCCTCCTTGATTAGTTTCCATCCATTGCTTCTTGTCCTGCCATCAGGGGCTTTGGAGAATAGCTTGACTCCCTCTTCTTTGGGGCAACTCCTCTCTTCCTTAAACTAGACATAACCAATTCCAGCAATTGTTTTTTATATGTTTTAGCCTCCAGTCCCCTAATCATCTTTGTTGCTCTTCTCTGTACTCTTTCTAGAGTCTCAGCATCTTTTTTACATCGTGGTGACCAAAACTGGATGCAGTATTCCAAATGTGGCCTTACCAAGCCATTGTAAAGTGGTATTAACACTTCATGTGATCTTGATTTATAACCTAATGCCTATTTAGGAGGCTACACAATGCAGTCTACTTCAGGAATAGGCAGTTCTCTATCTGACAGCATTAGATAGTCCCAGTTACTTCTCTTGGTACCCATCACTTGACTTTTTACAGCCTTATCTTATTTCAAACAATAGCACGGCAACAAAAAAACAAAGCACTGGCTTGCAAAATCATTGATGTGGTTCCAGCTAATGAAATGTTCCAAAGAACTTCCAGGCATTTATTTTCCTAAAAGTCTTTTAATATTACAAAATGTTGGCACAGGCACAACGGAGGGATGCTAGGATCTAAGTTCTCTTCCTCTGAGCAGTTAAATTATCAGCGTGTTCCCTCCCTAAATTAGCCCTCATATCTCACACTATCCAATTAGTGTGAAGGTCAAATGTTTTCTTCCTCTTTCTTTCCCAGGTTTTACCCCCAACCCCCCTTCTGCTCTTCATTAACCCCATATTTACCAGACAATTCTGCATATTGTCAAAAGCAAGAATATACAATATTTGCAGCGTTGACAATCATCTGCATTTGCAAGAGAGCCTTTTAGGGCCATAGAAATCCCAGAAAAACTATCTTGCTTTTTGCTTCATTGATATTCCATTGCTGAGCCTGAGTTTTCTGGCATGCATTGTGATTGGGGAAGTTGCCCGCATAACATCCATGACATCCTGGTAGCATCTAATGGACATCTGTTGTGTCTGCTCACAGTAGCCATCTAGGAATAGGTCGTGCCTTCCTCTGTTCCATCTGTGGAAAGAAGGGAGTGGAAGACATTGTCCTATCTTTGCAGCTCCCACTGTGTACACAGCTAGGTTTGCTTAGGATAGAACAAGCAGCCATTCTTGGGGGGGGGGAATCCTATTTGTTGTTTAAAAGACAAACAAACCATAATCGGAGCAATGTGTGAACATAGTCGCTGACTCAAAATTGCAAGCGTTTCTTTGTCCAAAGTTTCTGCTCAAAGCCAACCTTCCTCCAGCCAATTTCCTTTCTACAATGAATGATAAAACTCCGGTTCTGGCTTGGAGCAGTTCCGTGGCTGCACAGTTAGGAAACGATACCATGTCCTCTGCTGGGTCTATTAAAAAAAAAAAGCGGAATGTTTTTGATCGTAGCAAATGACATGAGTGTAAGCTTTGGAACTGGATTGAATTAAAAAATATCCCTCTTAAACCGACAACAATTAAAAATAGTAGAGAGAAGAGCAGATCGGCCCCTTCATCTTCACACAAAGCAAGGACAACAATCCCCCAGCAACATTAACCAGATGACTCCAGGCTGGGGAACTGGGGCCGTTTTCCCATGGTGCATGCTTGCGCCATTGTATAAAAGCTTCCATGTCTGGGAATGGTCTGCAGGCAACTCAATGGAATCCCTCCCCTTGGGCTTTAAATTCTTAGGACAAATTGCACCTTAATGTTTGCTAGTGGATTTGCCCAGTTAGAGATGGCTTCCGTCCTTTTTATTCTTTTACAGGTATTCTAATAAATTGTCTGCAGTTGAATTTGGCTTCTTACAAAAGCATTCCTACCGTCAGTCAACACAATTTTGCTCACGGTAGGACAAGCAGTTGTAAGGTGAGATTATCTCTCTTTTTTTTTTCCTTGATCGCAAAACTTGTTTTACTTTCCTGAAGTAACAAGGAACATTTTAAATCTGTTTGCTGCCATTTCCTACAGGAAGCAACTGGTATTTTTCATTATTTTGCTTTCAGCTCTTTGTGGAGGTGCTTTGCTATTCCTGGGAGACTTTCATTTAGTCTTCTGCAAGGTAGGCAATGTGTTTTGGAGATGGGGGTAGGTACGTGCAGAATACTGCAAGCATATGGAATGGAATGGAATGGAATGGAATGGAACAGAACAGGAGAGGAGAGGAGAGAAGAGAAGAGAAAAGAGAAGAGAAGAAGAGAGGAGAAGAGAAGAGAAGAGAAAAGAGAAGAGGAGAAGAGAGGAGAGGAGAGGAGAGAAGAGACAAGAAGAGAGGAGAAGAGAAAAGAGAAGAGAAGAAGAGAGGAGAAGAGAGATGAGAGGAGAGAAGAGAAGACAAGACAAGAGAGAAGAGGAGAAGAGAAAAGAGAAGAGAAGAAGAGAGGAGAGAAGAGAAGAAAAGAGAAGAAAGAGAAGACAAGAGAAGAGAAGAGAAGAGAAGATGAATTATTTATTGGCCAAGCATTGTTGGACACAAAGAATTTGTCTCTGGTGCAAAAGCTCTGAGTGTACATACAAACAGAAAAGTAATATAATCGTGAGATACCAATAGGAGAAGGTAATAGGAAAGATGAGAAGGATAATAATAATAATACAGCCCTACTGCATGGGTAAATAGCCTTAAGCATAAGACAGTGCTGTGAGAATTAGATGTTCAACACAGCGATGGCACGAGAGAGAAAAATGGCACTCTCACAAAATGGTTTTCATGTGAGAAGGCTTGCATAGTCACAAATGTCTGCCCTAGGAGATGTAGCCAAGCATAGGTGTATCCATATGCAATGTATATGAATGATGAACATGACTATGCAACCAGAGATGCTACCCTGACTTTTTGATCCTTGCTTCCCAAAGGCAAATGGATGAAATCAATCCCTACCATCTCTTTTAATCCTCTCCCAAGTTCTCTCTAGTAGCCCAGTTTACATTTGTCTTTTTAAGTGGCCAGATAGGTCCATTAAATCAAGCTGTTGGTCTGCAGACAATCATCTGTTTTAGGTTGGAAGAACCAATGGGGCATATGTGAGACCTATGACACCATCTCTGGTAAAGATAATGCTACAGATCAGAGTTTTTCAGCAGGCTGAGTTCCAATTTAGCCTTAACACAACTACCCTATTTTAATTTTAAAAAGATCAGCTCTATTAATAAAAATCATTAAAAAAATTATGTGAGTGAACCCATGTCCTGATAATACTGAAGTTGTGGTCTCTCTCTCGACATGCAATCTTCACATTTGCACTTTTTTTTTCCACCTGCAACATGTAGGCCCTTGGTTTGGATGGCTTCTGGGAATAAAGAAGAGCATACAACTGTTTCTTCCAAAACCTTTATTCCTGGTCCATTTCCAAGAGCACCCAGAAGGCCACCTGTAATGGGACATGTCCTTTCCCATCCCCCGTGCCATGTCTCAGCATCTGAAGCATTTGTCCAAAGACAGGACAAAGCATTTTGAAGGAGGGGTCTTTGCCATTTTGAAGCCATGGCTGCTGGTTCTAGTGCTGAGTCAAACCTTGGAGGTCTTCTAGTCCAACCCCCCTGCTCAAGCAGGAGACCCTATACCATCCCAGGTAAGTGACTATCCAGTCTCTTTTTGAAGCCTTCAGTGATGGAGCATCCACAACTTCTGAAGGCAAGTTATTTCATTGGTTAATTGCTCTCTCTAGGTTGCTTCTCTCCTTGGTTTGGTTTCCATCCATTGTTTCTTCTCTTGCCTTTTGGCGCTTTGGAAAATAGTTGGATCCCCTTGTCTTTTGTAGGAGCCTCTCAAATATTGGAACAGTGCTATCATGTCCCCCCTAGTCCTTCTTTTCACTTGACCAGACATATCCAATGCCTGCAACTGTTCTTCATATGTTTTAGCTTCCAGCCCCCTGATCATTTTTGTGGATCTTCTGTGCTCTTTTTCAGGAATCTCAACACTCTCTTGAGAAGAGGGTGTTCAAAGAAACTCCACATTCATGAACATAAGACAAGAGGATAGAATAGAATAGAATAGAACAGAACAGAACAGAACAGAACAGAACAGAATAGAATAGAATAGAATAGAGCTGGAAGGGACTTTGGAGGTCTTCAAGTCCAGCCCTCTGCTTAAGCAGGAGAACCTACACCATCTCAGACAGGTGATTGTCTAGTCTCTGCTTAAAAATCTCCAGTGATTTCTGGGGGTAAGCTGTTCCACTGGTTGATTGTCCTCACTGTCAGGAAGTTTCTCCTTAAATCCAGTTTGCTTCTCTCCTTGATCAGTTTTCAACTATTGTTTCTCGTTCTTCCCTCTGGTGCTCTGGTGAACAAAGTGACCCCCTCTGCCTTGTGGCAGCCCCTCAGATACTGAAACACTGCTATCATGTCTCCCCTATTTCTTCTTTTCTTTAGACTAGCCAAACCCAAGTCCCGCAGCCATTATTTGTATGTTTTAGTCTCCAGGATTTTGATCATCTTAGTTGCTCTTTGAATTTTTTCTTAACTCTCAACATCTTTTTTATGACATGGTGACCAAAATTGGCTACAGTATTCGAGGTGTGGCCTTACTCGGGTTTTATAAAGTGGTACTAATACTTCGCATCATCTTGATTCTATGCCTCTGTTTATACAACCTAGAATTGTATTAGCTTTTTTGGCTGCTGCTGCATAGGAGCCAGCAGTGTGCAGCAGCAACAACAAAAAAAAAAACCCCTGCAGTGCTGGCTCATAGGAAAATGCAGTTTCTGAGATTCTGTACTTTACTCCTAAACTCTGCATTAAAATACATTACATGTATTATGTAATACTTACTGTAAATACAAACAACACATTTGCATCGTCCTTGCTTCCCTGATTGGGCCCCTGCTACGCATGGCTTGACAAATCAGGAAAATGACTTGTCAACAATGAAACATGTTGTGTGAACTTGGCATCAGAGCATGGGGAATCTGAATCAAATAAAAAAAACGGGGTAGAAAAGCACCAAACTGGCATGCTGTCCAATTTAGCCTTGATTGAAGATTTCGCCTGATACTGCGTCGATTCTAGTTATTTGCTATCAATGAGCTCAGTCCCAGAAAGGTTAGATATGACTCTGAAAGGCTTTTCCTACTTCAGCTGGATTATTTCATTTATTGCCGAATATAAATTTGTTTGTTAATGCACTCCGAAAGTATAGATCTGGAAAGAGAAAAAAAACAGAAGTAAAAGACAAAAGGTAAATGTTTCGGCTTAAAATACAATTTCCACCAAATCTCCAGAGAGTTGAAAGAAAGAAAGAAAAAAAAAATCTCAGCAGAAACATTAGAATGGCTGCATTTCCTGGTAATTTATCCATTTATTTTTACAGTAGCTGTCCAGGAGAGTTTTAAAACCCCGAGATAACAAAGAGAAGTTGTGAGGCTCTCCCTGAAATATTATTTTTATTTCCTAAGGAGAGTGAAGCAGCCAATTGTGGTTTACTCTTATCAAGCCTCTATTTGGCTGTTTTCCTGATTCTTACCATTTCAGGGCTTTTAAGGAGCATAATAAAATGCATTAAGAGAGGACGAAAAGAACTCCTCTACAGATGAGACAAAAAGTATTGGTATCCTACTTTTCATCCAAGAATCCCAATTTGCTGTGAACTAAGTTGGCCACCTAATGAGAAGGAAGGACTCACTGGAGAAGGGCCTAATGCTGGGAAAGATTGAGGGCAATAGAAGAAGGGGACGACAGAGAATGAGATGGCTGGATGGAGTCACTGAAGCAGGAGGTGTGAACTTAAATGGACTCCAGAAGATGGTAGAGGACAGGAAGACCTGGAGGAACGTTGTCCATGGGGTCGCGATGGGCCGGACACGACTTCGCAATTAACAACAACAACAACAAAGTTGGGGACACAACTAAACGGCCCCCAACCCTCTTGATTTCACAGTGCACTGAGCAGACTGTGTGCTTGTCATGTATGACTTAACACAGTGGTGGCGAACCTATGACACGGGTGCCAGAGGCGGCACTCGGAGCCCTCTCTATGGGCACACGTGCCGTTGCCCCAGCCTTGCCTCCCCCCGTGACCCCCTCCACTCCAGCAGCCCCCTGAAGGGGAGTCGCCCCTGAGCGTGGCCCACGCGGAGCAGCGCAGCCAAGGACATGGCAGCCAGGCAGCGTAGACAAGACTCTGCCCTCATGCCCCATCCTGCACAGTTGATGCGCGGGCAGAGGGCGTGGCCGCCATGTCACTGCTGGGCTGCCTGGGCGATCTGTGGCGGGCCCTGGAGGCGGTGAGTGGTCCTGCGGGCAGGCGGGGCACGGGATGGGGGTGGAGCAGGGGCGGGACAGGGCATGGAGCAGGAGCGGGGCCAGTTTTTGGGCACTCGGTCTCTAAAAGGTTCGCCATCACTGACTTAACATATTCTTGTAAATAATAAAATAGTACTTTAATTTCATAGAACACAGACCAATAGAGTTGGAAGGGACCTCAAAGGTCTTCTAATCCAACCCCTTGCTCAAGCAGGAGACCCTATACCTCTTCAGACAAATAGTGGTCCAATCTGCTTTTGAAAGCCTCCAGTGATGGAGCAGCCACAGCTCCTGAAAGCAAGGCGTCCCACTGGCTAATTGTTTTCTCATTGTTAAGAATTTTCTCCTTAGTTGCAGGTTGCTTCTCTCCTTGACTAGTTTCCATCCATTTGTTCTCATCTTGCCTTGGAGAATAGATTGACACTCCCCCCCTCTTCTTTGTTTATTGGAAGGGTACCAATACTGTACTTTTGTGCCTGTATGCCACACACTTCCAACACGTTTGTCCTCTGAGTCAGAGGTCACAACCTCTTCAAACATCATCTCATTTTGCTCAGCTTGTCAAAAAATGTGACAGTGACTCTGATCTGCAGTCCCCACACACACAGACAAAGATGGTAGTTTTCCAAGAATGAGCATGAAAATTAGCAGACTTTTCAGCTAGTTTATTCCAAGGAGGATTTTTTTTTTCATTTATCACCTCCCCTTTTGTTATGTATACTCTTGAAAGTTGGGCGGTATTGTCTCCGTGTAAACGCAGAACTGAAATTTGTCCACTTTGCCTTCTCATTGCTGCACACAAATCGCTGTCTCTGCCTAAACCAATTACTGCATCAAACCACATAATGGGCAGGAGGAAGGAGCTTGAGGAAGAGGAGAAAGAAACACAACCAAGACAATGGTCGGATAAAAGACATCTGAGGCTAGCCACATCCTGGCATTAGAGAGGGAAGAATCAATACATCTTTCTGAGAGGCCACAATTGCTCTAAAGAACTGTCCTTGGCACTCAGGAAAATGCATTAATGCAGCTCAGTTCTCAGAACTTCACCATCTGGTGTCTTCTGGAAGCATCTACCACTTTTCCTGCTAGATCAGGAAGTTATTCCCCAAACAGCTTCTTCATGGTACCTTGCTCAATAGTAGTAACTGTGAGAGGGATCTCGGAGTCCTAGAGGACAATCAGTTAAATAGGAGCCAGCCGTGTGCTGCAGCTGCCAAAAAGGCCAACACAGTGCTGGGCTACATGAATAGAGGGATAGAATCAAGATCATGTGAAGTGTTAATACCACTTTACAAGGCCTTGGTAAGGCCACACTTGGAATACCGCATCCAGTTTTGGTCACCACGATGTAAAAAAGATGCTGAGACTCTAGAAAGAGTGCAGAGAAGAGCAACAAAGATGGTTAGGGGACTGGAGGCTAAAACATATAAGGAACGGTTGCTGGAATTGGGGATGTCTAGTTTAATGAAGAGAAGGACGAGGGGGGACACGATAGCAGTGTTCCAGTATCTCAGGGGCTGCCCAAAGAAGAGGGAGTCAAGCTATTCTCCAAAGTGCTTGAAGGCAGGACAAGAAGCAACGGATGGAAACTAACCAAGGAGAGAAGCAACCTAGAACTAAGGAGAAACTTCCTGACAGTTAGAACAATTAACCAGTGGAATAACCTGCCTCCAGAAGCGGTGAATGCTCCAAAACTGGAAGTTTTTAAAGAAGAGATTGGACAACCATTTGTCTGAAATGGTATAGAGTTTCCTTCCTGAGCAGGGAGTTGGACTAGATGACCTCCAAAGTCCCTTCCAACTTTTTTATTATTATTATTATTATTATTATTATTATTATTATTATTATTATTATTGGATTTCCCAGGCCCCTCTACAGCAGGCATGTCAAACTCACGACGTCATGTGATGTCGCGACATATCGGGACTTTTTCCCTGTTGCCAGCAATGGGGTGGGCACAGTTTTGGCGTGATGCATCCAGTCCACGGGCCGGCAGTTTGACATGCCTGCTCTAGAGGGTCCTCAAATCATTTTGTAGACCTGAGCTTTTGTATGAAAGGGTGGCATAGAAATAAGGCAATCGAGATGCTTGATAGGAAACCTTAAAGTGTGCTATACAAATCTTCCACCCTATCCCAGAGGAATCCTCCTTCCACCCATCTGTTTTACCAAAAGTGAGACATATCTTGAAGTCCTAGTGGACATGTACTTAATAGGAGCCAGCAGTGTGCGGCAGTAGCTAAAAAAGCCAATGTAATCCCAGACTGTATTAACAAAGTAGAAACAAACTCATGTGAAGTGCACTACTTAGGTGACCCTGAGAGCACAGATAAGCCTCCAAATGGCCTCAACAACTCTCAGAAAGAGCGTTAATGGCCAGATAACTGCAAGGAATATAAATCTTTCCATTCTCCGCCGTCCAGCCAGAACTGAAGAAGTTTCTTGGATGAGAACCAAAACATCTTCAAAGGAAACCAAAGTCCAGTTGCCTCTTGAAAAAGTTTATTTGGGACATCCATCAGGCTCCCTGATCTTTCAGTGGCTTTTGATACCATCAACCACTGTATCCTTCTGGGATCTGAGAGTGGGAGACACTGTTCCACATGGTTCTTTTCCTTCCTCTGTGGTCAGTTCCAATCAGTATTGGTCAGTGGTGGGATTCAAATAGGTGAACAACCAGTTCCCTGTGTGGATGCTGCTTCCGGAAGTCCATTCTGGGCCTGGGCAACAAAAAATTAGCTACCAGTTCTGCCGAAGTGGTGCAAACTGGTTGAATCCCACCACTGGTGTTAATGAAGGGAAAAGTAACATCTCCACCTCTCACTTGTGGGATGCCTCAGGTCTTGATGCTGTCACTCATCTGTTTAGCATCTATATGAAGTCATTGAGTAAGGCCTTTTGTTGGTTTAGGGCCCAGTTACGTATTTTGACACACACACCCCAGGCCACCCATGTAATGCTGTCAATGTCGCCACCTAATGTCTCAAGACTGTTCCGATCTGGATGGGGTTATCTCGATGTTCAAATGACTTTGGCAACTGAGAATGAAAATAAGACAGAAGTAAGAATCAACTGACACTAAGGATATAGTGCATTGTCAAAAAGTAGTAGCTAACTGGATGGCTGCATTTGAAAAATTTCCAAATGGAAAATATCTAGGAGGTGTTTGAAGAAAAACTAGGACATATTACACAAACTATGAACCAGAATCAGATTGAGTTGATTGTAGCAATTTGAGGTGATGCAACCAGGGTGTTTGGTGATCAGTAAGGATTCCTGGTTGGTTGGTTTATTCGTGTCAGAAGCATCACAATTAAAACAAGGTCTATTGTGTGACATAAATTTTAACATGTAAAATGCAAAATTAAAATATGTACAAATTAAACAGAACTTGCCCGGAAACTAGCAACATTAATTGTGTTCTATCACGCTGCCAGGAGGTAAATGTACGCTGATTGGGACAGACATACAAGCACAAAGAATAGAAGAATAGAAGAATAGAAAAGAATAGAAGCCACTGGTTAGCCATATTTAAATGATTGTCCACGAGGACTCCAAGATCGTGGCTTAAGTTTTAGTTGCTGCCATTTAAAACAAGTAGGAGAGGAGCAAAATTTGCCTCTGTACCTCACCCTAAGCCATAATTACTTGGTTGGCTTGCTGTTTGTAGCAAGAGGGCTTATAAACCATGTTTTACGGATTAGCATTGTTATGTGTACTCTGCCACTATGGCTCATTCAGATTTTAAACAAACCATGCCTCAGTATGAACCAAGTCATTACAAGCCCCAAAATGAAAGACAGGCCTTAAAAAAAATTCCTCTGAGGTGCTTTTTTACCACATATTGATTGTAACAATTGGTTTATTCGTGTCAGAAGCATCACAATTAAAACAAG